AAAAGGGTTCGATCGCTTCAGGACTTTTCCCCTCACACTTTTCCCCCCTTGAACACACCTCCTTTTTTTTCAATGCTAACCTACTTGGGGGAGCAGCTGCTCGGTATAAAAAACAACGTGGCCAAAAGAAGGTTTTTCTCTCTGAGTTTTCTAGTGAGTCTATCTGCAGCTGTGCTGCCTAAGACAGTGGCCCCCAAGCCACGAGTGCTATTTATATTTAAATTAATTAAAAACAACTTAAAATTTAGTCTTCAGTCACGCCAGCATGATTTCAAGTGCTCAGAGTCCCCAGTGGGAGGTGGTGACCCTACCGGACAGGGCAGAGACAGAACGCTTCCATTTCCACGGAAAGTTCCACGGAACTCTGGGCGGTGCTCGTCTACACAGAGCCCATTCCCAGGGTAATGGTCTCCATTTCACTCCAGCCTGTGTAGACATGACCTATGAACAGAATAAATGTTTTCTTCTGCTGAGTAAAGATCACTGCTAGAATTAATCCTTTGCCTTTGTGGGCAAGAAGAAGCGGACGGGTAAAGCCGTGCCAGGAAGAGTCAGCAGAGATGCCCGCTGTGGGGGAGGGGAAGCGGGCAAGGTGGGATGAGCTGAGCCTTCCACGCCCCCTGCCAGGTCGACGGAGGTGGAGGGGGCTGGTGGTAGGAAGAGATCAAAGTCCCTGAGGATGTCGCTGCAGCTGTGAGCAGCACGGCCACATGACACAGACCCACGGAGGGGGCAGAGGTCACCGCAAAACGCGCCTGGCTCCAGGACAAGATGATTTACGACCGGGCAGAATTTTCAATGCTTCCTCTACACCTCACACGCAGGGTGAGGCTGCTCCGAGCCGGAAGGAAGCGCGCCCTCCACCCCTGCACCCCCAAGCCGAACGCTTCTCCGCTGCTCTGGGCTACCGAGAAAACGGGACCATAAAAAGCGGCGAGGGAGGCCCAGGCCTTCGGAAAGCAGGGGTCCGGCTGTCACACTCCTTACTGTGCTGGGCCGGCCCGGAGACTCGGAACGCGAGATTCATTCCGTGGGGTGCACAGAGACCGGTTTAAGAGAAAGACAGACAGAGGGGTTTCAGGAGCCGGTTCTGTCCGAGGTGGAATCCGCAGACAAACAGGCTGGCTTCCCCCTGCCCCTTCCCTGCATGGTCGCCTTGCCTCTCCCTCTCTCTCTCTCTGCTTCCCTGGAAGCGGGCGGGAGCAGTTTGTTCTCGCCTGGCGGAGGAGGCTTGAAATATGACAAAGGTGGCGTGCGGACGGCTCCCTGCGGCCCTGCCCCGGTGGCACTTGCGCAGACATAAAAAGCAAATACCATCAGTAACCCGTCGCCAGAACCCAGCTACAAGCCGAGAGCGCGTCTCCCTGTCGGGGCTGTTAGCGGCGATGTATTTCTCCCTGCACTAAGCACCATCTTTCCCAAGGCTGCATTACGATGATTTATAAACCCCATTTCTGGGGAAAACGAATAGATCAAAGTGAGGAGAAAGAAAAGGGGACGCGAGCAGCTGGAGGAAGATATCGAAGCACGAAACAAAAACGCGAATGAAAAACCAGGCGGCGGCACGATCGAGCTAGTCCTCGCGGCCTTTTATCACAGGAAAATAACAGCAGAATCTCAATTTTAATCCTTTCCTTTTTTTTTTTATCCTTTATAAGATGCGGCCTCCTGTCAGTTACCGGGGCTGAGCCGGCGTGGGCACGTGTGAGAACGAGGTGGCCCCGGGGGGCGCGGGGCGGAGGGCTCTGCCGGGGGGAGCTCAGACCTCAGAGGCTCCTCGCCTTCCTCCTCTTCTGAGGGAGCCCTGGTCTAGGGGCTCGGCGGGCGCCCGAGTAAATAAGGAGGGTTGCCCTTAGCAGCCCTCGCGATGGGGGACGTCCCGGGTGCGACGAGCTCGAGGCACAGCCTTTTAAAAGTCTCCAGCCGGGTCAGAG